AAAAAAAAAAAGAAAAAACCAAAAGGTGCGTTGGTATTTACCCCCAAACGTGCTGCTGCTTTACAGGCTCTCCCGAGTCCTTACAACAGTTCCACTCATTTAAGCACAAAGCAAAATGTAACTGTTGGGAATTTCCAAGGCCTTATACTTGCGTTGTTTTTACCCGACTTGAATATCTAAATAAGATTCTGATATGCTGTTGGCAATACACTTTGAAACTGATATTCGAAGGAACTCAGATGAACAGGGAAAGTTTCATGTCTATTATTACCTATTCCTTACTCTTTTCCGCTAGGAATAGCATACCTGTCACAAGTATATACCATTCGTGTGGGCCAGAACCAGTTGGTAACAATGTCACTTCCATCAGATACCAACTTAATCAACAACCGTGCAAGCGCTATGACTCAGTTATTTGAATCCTTAGACGTCCACGAGAGAATCAAAGCATTTGCCACAAGATTAAGAAGAGACGTTGCTGGTAATCAAACTTTGCAAGATGTTGCTAATGCTTACAAAAGTGCGACAAGGAATCACTCACAAAGAAGAGAACCAGTTGGCGACCTATTATGCAAGCAGTATCACACTTCGTACACGGCACTCAATCGAAATCAAAAGTCAACAGTTGTTAAGATTGTCGAGGAAATGACCAAGTTTTTTGATTTGGATAAACCAGCAATGACGGAAACAATTGACTACAAAATGCAAGTTGTCTTACGTTCAGTCATACTGGACTTATACTTCTATGCAAGATGTCTTTGGGATGGAGACATACAGTTCAATAACTCACTTGGAAATTTGATCACCATTTCACTTGTTCTTTTCTTCCCCCATACCACCGTCCATGTGGACAGTAAGTGTGGACTTTCCGTCCTGGAATTGAATACCAAGGTATTTAACAACTTTAATGTTAAGGTTGTCGACGCGAACCCGAGTTTTGAACCAGAGCAGTTAAAGGTAATCAAATTACGAGCTTTCTGTCGGGAATCACTAATGCTCGACCCGTTTCGTATTCCAAGTGCCGACAAAGTGGCATGCATGGAACAACCATGGACAGCAGATCTTGTAACGGAGTTCATCTTACCCATTCTTCAATTTACAGGAACTCAATTGGACCCTCAATCTGACACGGAGTTGTATCAAGAACATCGTCTTGTTGTAAAGCAATTCGAGACAAGGTATGGGAAAATACCAGATTTATGCATCTTGAAGAAAGTGTTGAAAAATGGGAATGAAGATCTTGTGGAGGAGAAGAAGGAGGAGGAGGAGATTGTTTGGGTTGGCGAGGCAAAGTTGGCTCCGCTTGAGTTGTTTTATGAACTGGGCCACGTTGGGCAAGAACTTGTGTTGAAACAGCTTATTGCATCTAAATTCCTTGCTAAACTCAATTACTCGTTTTTGTTCACCACAAAAACAATTGCCAAAATTGAAATACTTGGTGTTGATAAAGACCAAGACGTGGAGTTGAAGGTGACAAACTACTTGCAACCAGGGAGCACGTTGAACCCCCTACAGTGTTTTCTTTTGGAAAGTATANTTGAAGGTGACAAACTACTTGCAACCAGAGAGCACGTTGAACCCCCTACAGTGTTTTTTTTTGGAAAGTATAACAGACCAAGCTTTTCGTATGACGGATGAGCTATACACTCAGTTGATGAAGGTTTTATTGAACATAAACACCGCAAAGCTGGCCTCAGCTGGTGAACAGTCAGCAAATTCAAGTGGATCCAAATCTGATTATGACAACAGGCCAAGCAGGAAGTACAAACACACGGAAGCTAANGCAAATTCAAGTGGCTCCAAATCTGATTATGACAACAGGCCAAGCAGGAAGTACAAACACACGGAAGCTAAAGGAGCACATCCTGGAGGGGACGGCTCGATACCCACTGGAAAAGTTTCCGACAACCACCGAACAGCGCATAAGAAAAGTTCAAATAGAAAGGATAAAAAGTCTCAGCTGCTCCAAACATTTGCAAAGTTTAACAAGTTGTCTGACGCGCCTGATGGAAAAGAATCTGGCAAAGACACAGCTTGTGAACCCAACCGTACTGAAGTCGGAATAGGCGAGACCAAAGATATTGAAGGTAGTGGTGGTGAACGTAAAACTGACAAAGATAAAGGCACAGAAATTGAAATTGATAAAGACAAAGCGGGCAAGCCTAAAGAGCGTGAAGTTGAAGCCGATTCTGGTGAAAATAATGCTACTTTTGAACAAACGGAGGGTAGCATCGATTATTCTGAAGACGAAGGACTTGGTACATTGCCAACCAATTTTAGGGAGAAGTTGAAGCTTTGGAATAAGCTTTTTCATCCACGTCGACATCCACGTCCAATATCGCGTCCAGAGTCACGTTCACGGGGGTTCCTTACCCTACCGCGCAATTGGATTTCGCGGAGGGATTGAGTCCAAGTCTGCCGAGACAGCGTAGAATCAACTTTGCGTTTATTATCTATACACTTGCTCCGTGATAGACCTTTTCTAATCTGATGTCGCCCTTGCTTGTTGATCCATCGTAACTTTTTCTCTTTTTATATTCCCTCTTTATTGGTTTCCCTGATTCAATCACCCCCTTCTTCCCCCTACCCCGTTTTCTGGAAGTGTCTCCGTTAGCTCCACCACCAGCTTCTCCACCATTTCTAGGATGAGCCGTGGTCTAGGCGTAGTAATCCTCTACTTGCACGATCATAAGAGATTTGGGATTTGATTTCTATTTTTTGGGGTTTTGCGTACAAGCCCGCACATCAGATTGGCTATCTGATGTAAGAGACGTATGAATGTAACAAACCGATACTCTGACGAGGAAGCTGTACTTTTGGAAAGGGCAGTCAGACAATTGTTGCCTACTTACACCCAGCGACGAAGAGACAAAAAAGAAGTATTGAAATGGTATCTCCCTGTAGCTTTCTTATTGGAGCCTCGAAAGGAGAGAATCCATAAGTTTTCAACAACCTTACAGATCTCTGGAACTTTTTGTATTATAGGATAGTACATCTTGATTA